CGCCCGTGTGCTCGAACGTGGGCTGCAAAGAAGTGGCTGCCGGGTAGTTGACGTCTGAAGTTGGTAGATGGAAGACGTCAACATTACCTGCAGCTGGGCCCTGAGACACCTCGGTAACCCAGCTCCGTAACGAAGGAGGTGGAGTTTCTAAATCGTGCTTCACTTCGCCCTCCCTCTCAGCAGGGAGGTATTCATCCTCATTGGAGGTGGAAAAGATTGGCCAACCGCTTCCGTTGCAGCCCACTTGCCGAGGCTCGTTGTCCATTTATATTGACTGGAACGGGACAGAAAGAAAGGCAGTAAAAGGGACAACCTGTTTAATACGGTATCCACAAATAGTCACCCTCGAACAAAAAGCTTAGGATTGCGAGTGAATAGCCTGGGCAGAGGGGGAAGGGGAGAACTGCGAGTTTCTTGGCGAATGCGTTCAGCTGATACTATCGGAGACAACAACTTAAATGACTTGCAGAAAGAGGAGAGAGTCCTAAATAAGCGTCTTTATTCTCGCTAGAAGAAGCCAAAAGGCAACCCGGGTTTTCTTAAAGAGACACACGCCGTCACAGTGGATTTTTATAGGTACTGCGTCTAAGCGGCCAGAAAGCTCTATGTTGCCTCTAATTACTTCTTCTAACTGCCTAATCAAGCCAATGTGAAAATATTCGTCATTGGCTATGGGCATTATCCTGTGCCTACGAGCCTCATAATGGAGTGTGCGAGATGAGTTGTGTCCTTACCCCATGAATAGGGTGTAGGACGGCATGTGATATGTTGCAGGTGACGGTCAACAGCCACACCAACTCCCTATAGTTAACACAAGAAGAAAGGGAGGAAAAATAAGAAGAACAAAAACAACAAAAAGAAAAGATACACGAAACTGCATCTTCCTCCACCATTTGCTAAACTCATTTGCTTTGGACCTTGCAGCGTACTTGGATAAAACTGATTGTTATGAGACAACCTGAAAAAGTTTAGAGTCAAAAAAGGAATATGTAAAAGCAGAATTCGTATTGGCTGGGCATCACATTTACAGTACCACCACGGAACGTAGATAAAAATTCGGTTTAAAAGAGTCCTGATCAGAGTGCACCTTGTGAACGCAGCTAGTGATACAACCACCCCATACTCGCCCCACTATCAATAGCAGTGCCCCATGCCTTTCCCAGCATGCAATTGGACCTAAGGTAGCTAGAATTACGACCATGAGACGTCTGCGTCGGCAGAGGACCGTAAAACAAAAAAAACCATATGAGGGCGGGCTGTTGGCGTAATCCAGCGCACCGCATACGCCGACAGTGGCGTGGTGCAGAGGGATGAGGGAGCGGTGAGAGGGTTCACGCAGTGAAGCCCAGTAGACTTGACTGACAGTCCTCAATCGGCCAACGGACGATAGCTGTCCGGAGAGCACGCATCGTAGGAATGACGAAGATTTGCCGATAGCAGCATCAGACTGTACCCTCTATGACTTACTTGTACTTGTACTTGTAACGGCTGCGATCATGACTGATCTAGCCGG